TGCCCACAAAGAGGAAGGGACAAGTTCTCTTTGCCATTGGATCTCAGAATCCTTTTCCCCAACCAGAGGAAAGGCTTTGGGTTCAAGGAAGACCCTTTGGGTTTCTTAGCAGCACCTGCAATCTGGACCTTGCTTCCCTTCCATCCCAGAAAAGTCCAGCTCATGAGGGCAAGAACTTTTCCCTCAGCCCTGGACTCGTCCACCTGGTCTAGGCCACTCGGTCCTAGAGTGGCCAGCCCACAAGACCTGGCTGACTCTGAGGAGTGACTTGGGATCTGCATTTTGGAGGGACTCAGCAGAAAAGAGAGGTTGACCAGAAACATAGATTTAAGGAAGTCTTGCCCATGCCTAGCAGGAGCCGACTCTTCACCTAAAGTTTGGATAAAAGCACACTACCAGGTACTGTCCAGCCTAGAGGAGCCTGACCCTAGATGGGCCAGAGCCCCACCAAAAAGCAACCCTCAGACTGGTCCTGCTGTCCCCTCCATGGCCCATCACCTACTTGCCCCTTCAGCCCTGCCTTCCACACCCCACTATGGACCACTTCCATGCCCTCTTCACCACTCCTGTTGCTTCCATGGGCCTCTGGAGTCTGTTTCCCTTGGGGAAGGGTAGGCAGTGTGGCCCCTGGGTGGACTGAGGCAGCATGATGATTTTCCACGTTGCCATCTGATTGAGGCTTCGCTGATTGTTAGGAGTGTTCCTGACTCAAAATATGTGCAATTCCCAGTGTCAATCAAAGTCTTCTAAGCAGCAGCTGCCACTGCCATCGCCTCACAGAACACTTTAGAAACTCGTGTATTTAGAAACTATGCCAAGCCCAGCTTGCATCATCCCATCCATTCTAAGAGGCCTAGTGGCTGCAAGAGAACTTTAGGGCTGTAGGCTCTTGGTACTGAAGAAGGAAGGCAGAGAGAAGGAGAGTGGAGATAGCAGGGAGGGGAGGGACACGTACAACTTTCCTAGAAGGTCCCTGAAGAGGTCCTGGCCCTAGCTCCCCTGCCCTACAGAATGTTTGTATCGTTTATTTACTCTGGCACAGCCCTCCAGGCCCTGTTGGAAGGTATGTCCTAGAGGCAGTTCAGCAGGGAGATCAGCCTTGCCCCATCCCTTTGGCTTCCCCCTCCTCTCCCATGTCTCCAGCCACCCCCATGGCCTAAAGGTGGTGGATTAGGAGGTTGTACCCTAGGATAGAGAGTAAGAGAAGGAGGCAGTGTGATCGCTTGCCCACTGGGGTGCAGGAACATTGGGTAGCTGTGCCTTCTTGATGTTTCCACCCAAATACAGGGTTCTCTCTATTCAGCCCCCTTTTGCAGAACCCCACAACCTGTTGGAGGAGGTGCTATCAGATTCTTAAAACTGAATCTGCTCACCCAGAGCACAGAAAACCAATCACTATGATAGCAGGATAGTAGAAAAAAGTAGATATTCATTTGCAGGGTGCAGAACAAGGAGCCAGGTAGCTATGGCTTAATTCCCAGGCTCCCAGAGGAGTTAGGGGTAAAGGTTTTTTTAGGCTAAAATTGAGGCTGAGGGATCCATGTTCAGTTCGTGTGCAAGTTCCCAGTTGGCCAGTGGAGCTCATGAGCTCATGATCTTTTGATGTGTCAGTGATGCCATGTTTTTTAAGGAATTTTTGTGATGGCCAAATGGGCTTCAGTTGTTGCGGGGTTGACACACAGTTGCAAGTGGCAGTTACCCAGTTACTTTCTGCCCCAGGCCTGGAATTCCCCAAACAGACCCTTCCAGACAACACTGGCCATTAGGGTTTTGTCTATTGGAGAAGTAAAATGGCTTCTTGAATCCGGTCATTAAAACTTTGTCCTGCCAGCTGTACCACTCCATCAATTCAGTGAATTCCTGCTGATTTTCATAGACGAGTGAGAACACTTTGGGCTAAGGGGCTGGATCCCTGTGATATTTTGCCTGGTGCCCTAAAGGACTCTTGAATAGACTTCTGTTTCACTTCTTTGTAACAACAGATGCTTCTTGGAAGCTGCACTTCTCAGGCATTTCCATCTGCTTTAAAGAGAAGATGACAGCACCATCAAGGCCTTGGCACTCTGGTTAGGAATCCCAGGGCTGGGTTTTGTCCCAGGTCATGCAGGCCCCTGTCAGGAGCTTGTCCCCTGTGGAGATCCCAGAGACAGCATGACTATGGCCATGTGCTTTCCAAGACCCACAGAGAAACCCAGTGTAGGCATGGAACACCCAGCTGATGCTCAGGTGGAAAAAGGCATCTCACACGGTCACCCCTGCCAGCTTTGCCTCCTCACGTTTCCCTGTCTTGCCTACTGTTGACACCATAGTTATCCTAAAAGAAGTCTTCAATCTGGCCACTGGCCTGTTGAAAAACTGCTGTGCCTCCCCATTTTACATTGTGGGGTATGACAGAGATCACGCCAGACAAGTCTAGGATATATATGGAGTCTTTACTAACCAAGCATGGTGATGGAGTACGTACTAGAAATTAGCAAATGACAAGTCCACATGGCAAATCAGTCTGAATCCAAACCCTGAGAGGAACCAATGGTCATTACTGTGAAGTCTGTCCATTATACTGAAAACTTAGGTTTCAGCTGCCCCAGTAATATAAATCATCCTAAGAGACACACAGCAAACAACCTGGACACACTTAGAAAGCTGCAGACAGTCACCTTTTCTTGGCTTCTCTGACCAAATTCCACTACGGCTAGGCCTCACTTCTCCTAAAATTCATGAAAGCACACAAATTAGAAATATAAAGCATCTTAGCATTTGCAACTTCACTGACTCACTTAAGCAGTGAACAGAGGGTGAGGAATAGATATAGGGGCCATGTTCAGGGGCTGCCTGACCTCAGAGTATATCTGTGGGAAGCCAGAGAGCAAGCAGGTACTGGGGAGGCCAAGAGTTGGGGAGGTCACAATGCAAGAGCAACAGAAGCATGCAACCAAGAGAGAGAACACCTCCCTATCATGGGCCTTTATGGGGGTTGAGAGAGGAATGGTTATGCAAGAACGCAATACTGACCCTTCTCAGGTTCCAAGTGATGATATACAAGGTGTTGCTTTCTAGCTCATGACCCAGAACTAGCTGTCTAACACCACAACATTTCAATGAAATTGAAAGCTGTAGAAATTCTTCAGCCTATCCTTTCCATGACCCCACCATCTCCCAGGCCCCTCACACCAAGTGGAGCAGACCCAGTGCCTGCCAAGGCATCCCTCATACTAACTCTTCCTCCTACTCACCATGCTGCATCCCCACCCCTGCATCCTCAAGTCCTCGTCTGCCTTCCAAGCCAACCAAAAAGCCGCTTGCTCTGGGCAGCCCCCAATCCTCCCAGGCTGCCGTCCTCCTTCTGTCCCGAGCTCCCACAGGTCTCCCGAGCGCCCTCCCTCCTGTGGCATCTTCCAGCTTCTGCTTTATTAGATACTGACATAGACATGCCTCCTCTCTCCAACGTGAATGCAGCTTCCCTGTCTGATTTCTAGAACCCTCCTCCCTACCTGGTAGGCCTCACACAGGGTTAACACAGGACCCACCACCTGACATCTTTCTATGAAATAGAAGCAGGTGCCTATCAAGGCCATGAGGAACAATGCCTCTTGGGTGTATGTCCAAGTGCATGGGTGGCTGAGTTCATGTGGCATCCAAGCCTACACACACACAGAGTGTGTGCTTAGGTGTCTCCTCACAGCATCTGAGGTTTTCTATTGGCACACCCTCAACATCAGCCAACCGCCAACACGCCTTGCTGGTCTGTGCTGAATGAAAGACCACATAGATCCCATCGTGAGGAATGTGGTCTGAAGGCCACCACCAGTAGAGTTGGCTGTGGCCACACCGGATTCAAGCATTATTTTTTAAAAGTCTGATAGATTCAGATCCTCTTGTCCTAACTTCCAGATTATTTGGGAATGACTGGATCTCACCAGCTGGGTGCTTGCACAGAGAGATTTAGAATAGTGAAGAAGCATCGATCCCAGACATGCCATTTAGATAAAAGTTTACCTGTGATTTCAAGGCTTTCCTCCACTGACAGACTCATTGTTCTCTGACCAGAAAAAAAAAAAAAAGCCAGCATCTGACCCTATGGCCTGGTAGCCAGAGAGCATCTACTCACCCCTAGGTGGGGCTGCCAGCCCCTGCTGCAATCCAGGACCTGGCTACAGCCTGGTTGGCTCTGTGCAAACCGACCTGAGCGTGCATTCTTTTCCCTGCTTATTTCCTTCATGTGCCTCTCCCTCTCTGTTAGCGTCTGCTTCTTGTCATTCATGTACCCTGATGCTTTCTCTACTCTCAGCTCTGCCCTGGCCGGTGACCAGTAGGCTCATATTGCCTTCTTTTTCTTGAACCTCCCCACTTTCTAACAGCTTTATCAAGTGGTGATTTACATTGCATGAAGTTCACCCTTTGTAAGAGTGCAATTTAGTGAGTCTTCAAAATCTGTGGAGTTGGGTCCAGCATGGTGGCTCAATGGCTAAATCCTCACCTTGCAAGTGCTAGAATCTTATATGGGTGCTGGTTTGTGACCCAGCTGCTCCACTTCCCATTAAGTTTCCTGCTTATGGCCTGGGAAAGCAATGGAGGATGACCCAAAGCCTTGAGACCCTGCACCTGCATGGGAGACAGATGCATTCCAATGTCTTGGTGGAGACTATAGCCCCTCAGTAAGCCCACAGTGTTTTTTAAGTCTTCCCTTATCCATTCTACACATCTCTGATGACATAGGAGACCTTCTCAGAGGATAAAAGAGTCCTGGCCCCAGGTTCCAACCTCCACATTGGATTTAAGGGACAACAGAGAACTGCTGTGGCAGGATCCTTCAGAAAGACAAGAGCAGAGCTCTCTGTGGAAGGGTTTAGGGCGTGGTTGCCTGCTGTCTCCTTGCTGCTGCTCTGGGGTTTGTGGAGGCTGAAAAGTGTTCAACTGGGCCACTGATCAGCACACATCTGCTAAATGCTGCAGCCTAGGTCATTCCCCACCCTTATGTACGTTTCCCTCATTACCTGCAGGTTCTGGCTCCAAATGGTCGCATGGTGGGGACAAGGATCCAGAGCCACAGTGGCCTTCGACAACATCTCCATCAGCTTGGACTGCTACCTCACCAGTGAGTTCCCCATACCCCTAGGTCACCTGGGGCCTCACCAGGCACTCTAATGGGGGCCCATCTGTCCCTCCCACCTGCCTGAAAGTGAACTGGACTCCCTGAACCCAAGACACACCTCACCCAGCCCCTGAGACCCTTTCTCTCTATTACAGTCAGCGGAGAAGACAAAATGCCACCGAATGCAGAGCCCAAGTCAAGAAACCTGTTTGAGGGGATCTCAAACAAGGAGTTGAAGCCCAGAGAACCTACACCCGGGACCCCCGCCTTTGACCCTACAGGTAGGAACTCGGCTCACCAAGCCAAGCAGACTGATTTCTTGGTGGTGAAAGGCAGAGGGATCTGTTTTGCGATTGGGGTGGGGAGTTGCATGCAAGCAAGGAATCAACCTGTGAAAAGAGTGTCCCCTACACCCCAACTCTGGGCTCCGGAATCCAGAGTTAGCTGTCATGACTGAGTTAGGGAAGCCTCTAGAAGCTGTGCCCAGGAGAAGCTCCTCTCTGTGTCTAGGCAGGGCCCAGGATCTCATACACCAGAGAGTGACTCTGGCGTTCTCACCCAGCTTCTGAACATCCTATCTTCTTCTCATAGGCAGGTTAGGGCCGAGGCCAAGATTATCCGTTACAGAAAGGTAGCCCAGCCACCCTGATGCCCCATCAGCTTTAAGTTCCATACCACCCCATCCAATAGAACTAAAATAAATCTGTTCAGAGCATCCCACAATGGAAAACTTCTCATGGGAGCTGGGCTGGTACTCCAAACACAAGCCTCTTCAGCCTCTGTTCCACAACCACAGGCAGGTGCGGCCTCTCAGCCACTGCTTACGGCAGGGAAAGATGCTTCAGTGTGACCTTCCTGATGGCTACAGTGTGGACACCATGAGCCCAGCTGACAGGCCCCTGATTGAGGGCTTCCTGTGCCCCACTCCCACAGCTCACCCATCCCCCTGGGGGGCCTTGGCACCCTCACACTTGCAATACAAGTGACCTGCAGAGGCAGGTGCACAGCACACAGTCTACCCACCTGCTCTTTCTTATCAAAGATAAAGACTTTATTAAGATAGCCATGGATAAATGATAAATCTCTTATTGCTACTTAACAAAATCCTTGCAAGCAAGGTGTGGAAAAAAAAGTAGAAGCTTAGATTCTTTTTTTTTTTTTTTTTTTTTGATGCTGTATTTATTGACTTACAACTCATCAACTCAAACAACCAGAGTTTGGCTTTGGCTTTGACAAAGTCCTTTCCTTTCTGTCCCCTGAGTTGAGTAGTCACAGGAAAAACTCTCGGCCTTTCCACACACCAGCTACTAAACCCCAAAGAGGGCTAGGCTCCCTCCCACGTTGGGTCTCTGCTTCCCGACTTAGCTTCTTGGCTTTTAGATTCATCCCACCTGGAAGAGCCCACCTCCTGACTGACAAACTCAGAATCTGCTCCTGCTACCCCACCCCAGTGGTTCACCTCCCTGACTCCTTGGCCCTTTGTCCAACACCAGCTCCTTGTGCAAAATTCAGGACATTGACAAGTTTCCCGATTCAGGAAAGAAGCCAGATTTTCCTTCCGATGTGCAAACCAGACATGGCTGCCTACCCTGCCCTGAGCACCAGTGTTGGGCAGGAACACCAGAAGCACCTGCTGATTGGCCAGCAGGCGGCAGAAGGCTTAAGCTGCCTTCTCCCATGCCAGCAGCCGGCTCCCCAGCAGCCAATGCGTAAGAAACAGCACTCACCCTGGCTGACTCCAGGTTTATTGCCACATAACTCCCACTGTCCCTAGAAGTCTGATCGATAAGTGCCTGCCTGGTGGCCACTCAGCCTAATGAGATTACACGGCCTCTGGGAGGCAGTGGCTGACTCCTCCCTGGAAGTGAGTGGCTGCCCCAGAGGCAGGAGAACTCAGCTGCTGGCACACCAGCCCTCTCCCGTTCCTTCCAAGGAGCCACGCTTCTCATTCAAGCCTGAGCAACCTCTTTTTTTTTTTTTTCCTGCCAAGAACCATTTGGATATTTATAACGTTATTTGTGGGCTCTTCAAATTTATTTAAAAAAAGAACCTGCCATAGATGTATTGAATTCCAAGTCCCGCCTGTGGTTGCCTCAGCATGGGCCAGAACAAATGATTTCTCAGGCCGGATCTTCCCCAGCCCTGCCTGGTCCCTCGAGCAAGACCTCTGCAAAAGGCTACTCATCAGTGTTCTCTTTCCCTTCCGGAATGACCCCGGACACAGGGCCTAACATGTCCCTGGACAGCCTCAGGCATACACCAGCTACCTGAGGCTCCAGAAAGGTTCTATAACACCAAAGAAGCCAAACCCAGACCTCGAATACTTACTCTATAGCCAATTCTGTGCTCAGAGATGCTCAGAAGAACAAGACCCAGGTCAAGAGCTCAAAAGAACTTCCAGTGTAGACGAGGAACATGCAAATGTTCATCAGGAGAGGCCTGTGTAAACTTGTGAATACTAAGGTCAAACCTGCACCCACTCGGCAATAGTCACTAGCAAACATGTGCCCAGCCCCTCTCCTGTGACCATAGCAGGGGACAGGTGACCCAGCCTTGCTGTCCTGGACTTCTTCTGGTCCATGGGAAGAAAGTGGTGGTGAACCCCCTGAGACAAGTGTGTCACAAGTCAAGCTGAACCCTAGCTCAGAGCCTCTACTTGATAGTGCCCCCTGGAGGTCAACAGAGAGAAGAGGATGGAAAGGGGCAGTCGCAGAGCCTGGGCAGGGACCGTCCTGGGGACAGTGGCTGTGCTGGCCCTTCTTGGCAGGAGGAAGATGGAGCAAAGAAGAAGAGTTCCACAGCTGGTGGGCAGCAGGCCAGGATCGGAACCCCAAGTCTGCATTTTCCCCAACTAAGCTACTCCAGAAGTCTCAAAATCTCTAATCAGAAATAAACACTAAAAATAGAAGAAGAGCAAGGAGAGCATCCAGACCAGAGCTCTTGCACAAACAGTCAACAAATCAGCTCCCAATGCTTTGACAAAGAATTGAGGAGACAAGATAATAAGATTTTCTTTGCAAAGTTCAGGGCTGTCAGTTTCTACTGGGCCGGAACAAGGGTAGCTGGTGGCATTTTAGCTCTCCAGCGACTCCTAGAAACGCAAAGGCCAAATCGGTTACACCTCAGGCTTACAGAATTCCCTAAGCACTCCTCACACCCCCTCGAACCAGCCGTTCCCTCTGACTGGGATCTGACCTCACTCCTTAGGCCAGTCGGGGGTTCCCTCACGTCTCAGCCACAGGGCAGGGTGGAATTGTGAAACATCCAGGCCGAGCTGTGCAGGTGTAACACACGCAGCCTTCTCGGAAGCCGTGAGTCACTTTAGCTAATCAGATAAGGAGGCTGAAAGAGAAAACGGGGCAAGTATTAAGTCCAGGGAAATTGCATTTGTCAGCTTTGCACATACAATTACGCTAACCAAACGGTTGGGATAATGCAATCACGGGGCGGCAGAGCTGGGTCAGTTTCTCTAACTCCTTTTCAGGCAGGAGTGACTATTAGAATGAGGGGTGGCAGCATCTCTGCCCCCTTGTCGTAGAGGCCTGGTGAGAACAGACCCCCACGGCCAGTGGTCATCCACAGTTTCCTTAGCTCTCTGCAGGACTCCTTGAAGCTCTCAGGTGTGTGAGGGAAGGCTGAAGGGAAGCAGCTCTGTGTTGTCATGGGAAGGTGCCCAAACACAAGCCCAAGCCCACAGTCCCAGTTTGTGGATCGTGGCATCAAAATCACACTTTAGGGTAACAAATTGATCTGCCAGTTTCTGAATGTGTTTTTCTTGTGGTGGTGAGGCACGTGCTAAAAAGGTAAAAGTAATTGAAAATGTGTAGACGCATGGGAAGGTTAGGGAAGAGGGAGCTGGGCATGCCTTGGGGCTGGGCCATTCTGAGGCTGGCCCTTCCTCTTGGGACAAGTTAATCAAGCTGCCAGTGGCAGTACTTGTATGCGAGAGACTGGTGTGAACACAGACGAGGGCGGAGAAATGCTATTTTTAAAAAGTCACAGTTGGAAGTCAACAGGCTCCAAGTCCCCTGGTATGGCCAGCTCTGTGATGCTAAGGTCTGCAGGGACGTGGCCTAGGGGATCCAGTCGTGCCTATGGCCCGTCTCTCCCATTAACCCGTGGCTGTGCTAATGTGCCCAGGAGTGAAGCTGACAGAAGGTCCATTTCCACATGCGTGCCCCTGACTCCAGAACAGATGCCAATTTCAATGAGAAAGTTTTATGTGTTTTGTATAAATTGATTGGCTCTATTTCTGCTAAATGCATTATCCATTCACCACAGAACAACTATTAGAGTTAATAGAATTTGTAGCTAGAGCCATTATGTGCCCAGCACACCCTTCTGGGATGACGGCATTGTTGGAAGGCTGGCTTCTGGGGACCCGGCTCCCTCCCCCTCAGCTTTGTCTTCCCATTGTCCTTTGTTTCCCTCCAAACTTCCATGCTCAGGCCTTGCATGCCTAGCCCAGCCCCCTGTAATGGTGCATCCAAACATTGTTGGCCTCTTCCCTTCAGATTTATCCATAATAAATAGCATTTTTGAATCCCAGGCCCCCGGACTCCATCCTCTTCTCGCTCATTGGTGATGTGCAGGACTGGAAGGAAGCCCGGATCCCTCGTCTAGCACTAGTTCCTCATCATGGCAGCTTGGGAGGCAGGGGGCTGTGAGGTGAGCGGTCAGGAGAAGAGGCAGGCTAAAAGAGAACCCATGCACTCCAGGGGTGGGGCTCAGATTAAACTCTGTTCATCATGTCCTCAACAGCTTTTCCCCAGAAACACCCAGTATGGGCCTAATCCAGGACATCATGATGTGGCCAGGAGCTGGTCAGACCCATAGGGAACCAGACCAGCTCAGAGCTTTCCCACTGCATCCTCATGCCCTGAGTGGCTGGATCACAAACCACAAGGCAGGGAGCAAGGGAGAAGCCTAGTTCCTGGGCCTCTCTCACCAGCTCTCCAGGAAGCTCTGAGCAACAACACAACTTAGGAAGCCAGGACAGCGGTGTGACCTTGGGAGGGTGCTGAGTCCCACTCAGAGTCCCCACGGCCTCTCCTGAGCTCCCACCTGGCTGACCGCAGAGGCCTGGTCAGCTACAGCAACCACTCTCCCTCTGCTGCACGTTACGACATGCCAGACAGCACACTGGGCTCTTTCGATTGCATGGTTTCATTTCTTCATGCATCAGCCCCCTTATACAGAGGAGGAAGCTGAAGCCCAGACAGGTTGAACAGCTGGTCCTATGTTATACAGCTTTTATAAGAGGCTATAGGATGCACTTCTT